CTTAAAGCTCATCCAGCTCCAACCCCCTGCCACGGGCAGGGACACCTTCCACTAGAGCAGGTTGCTCCAAGTCCCTGTGTCCAGCCTGGCCTTGAACACTGCCAGGGATGGGGCAGCCACAGCTTCTCTGGGCACCCTGTGCCAGCGCCTCAGCACCCTCACAGGGAAGAATTTCTTCCTGATACGTTATCTAAATCTACCATTTTTCAGTTTAAAGCTGTTGCTCTGAATGCTCTGTGGGGAATAGCCTCAGCTACGCTTCACCTCCAAAGAAACTCAAAGTACAGCCTGAAACTAGGATACTTTTATTGTCTTTGTCATTCACAGATGGGCTATCCAAGCCCCAGGCAGCAGAGCAAAGAATACTCTGGGAAAAAACCCAAAGTCCTGACTTCTCAGCCCAAGACTGATGCCGGGGGATAAGTGGAATTACCTTCTGTTTCAACAAGGCAATGGCAGAGAAATCACCCACTTGAGACAGATATTCAAGGCTCAGTTCAAGTGCCTAAACATGGGCACTCCAGGACCTCTTGCTCTTGCTGCTGAAAGCTCTGGGTCTCCAATAAGTCACATCTGCCAGCACTGGACACCCAGCTTCTTTACTTTTGATGTTTCCTACAAAAGTCTACAGCCGTCTTTTATTGCCGTGTATTACGACCAGCTTCCACCCCCCAAATCCCCCGAACAGCAGCAGATTTGTTGGAGAAGGAGAGCAAAAGGCTGAGAGCACAAACAGCTCTTTTCCCAGTTCTGGCAAGGTGAGCACAGCTGGGTTGTATCAAGGCTACTCTCTGGGATATTTTTAGCAAAGACCAGAACACGAGAGGCCAGATCCTCAGCAGTGCTATGCTGACTTACACCCACTAGAGACAGCGTAAGTATAGCCTCTGGTACTTAAACCAGAGAGCTAAAATAGGCTCCAAAGAACAAACTGAAATTGCTCTCTCTGATCTCTCATACGCTGCTGATTGCTCAACATCTTTACTGACAAACTAAGAGCGTAACAGGATCATTCAAGTTCACTAATTTCCCAAACCGGGCTAAAAACAGCTGCTGGGATTGTGCAAGAACTCCTGGAGAAATTTCCATTGGCAAAGCCACCCGCAGCCTGGGCCCAGAGAGTAAATCACAGGGGAGCA